ACGTTACTTCCGTTGTTTGTGGAATATGGATGTTGTTCAGAGATGGTGGGGGCAAGTTTGTCTATTAAGGGTAAAAGTAACGTGTTTGCACTTTTGCTCGTTAACCTTTATGCGCCAATCTGCTAGCCATTTCTCCAAAAGCCCGAGATGAGCTGATAGATTTTGCGTTGCTCTCGTGGGGCACTTAGATCGACTTAGAATGGCAGTATCATCAGCAAATGTTGAGGTTATTGTAAGGCCGGTTGTCGGAAGGTCTGCTGTGTAGATTAAATACAGCGTTGGTCCAAGCACGCTTCCTTGAGGTACTCCAGCTTCGATTGGATGGTAATCGGAGAGGAAATCTTTACACCGTACAGCGAAACTTCTATGCACAAGATATGACTCCAGTATTTTGTGGGTGTTCTGTGGTAGCAAATTTTGAATTTTATAAATCAAGCCGTCTAACCAAACGCGGTCGAAGGCCTGGGCGACATCCAGAAAGACTGCGGAACAGTACTCTCGACTTTCAAATGTATTTCGTATCTCTGCGGTTTTCGGTTCACTTGTTCAATGGTTCCGTGTTTCTCGCGGAAACCAAATTGGTGGCTTGGGATGGCATTATGGGACTGCAGGTGTTCTTTTATACGATTCAGCAGAAGCTTTTCAAATATTTTTGATAGGCACGGCAGAAGACTGATTGGCCTATATGATGAAGGCTGGGACTTGTCCTTTCCAGCTTTATGGATCATAGTGATAACGGACTTTTTCCATTGTTGTGGATAGTAGCCCCATTTCATCATGCTGTTGAATATGGTGGTAAGAAGATTTACTGCACAGCTTGGCAATTCCATAATCATTTTCGGGGAGATTAGATTTTCCTGAGCCTCGATCACTCTTGTCACTTCTCTTGGTTCGAATGCGATAGGCAGGGTAGCCTCTGGAGTGATGATTGTTGGGAGCACAAAGCTGTTTGTTGATGGAAGCGGTTTGAAGACGTTTTCCAGATGCGCAGCAAATACATTCGCCCTCTCTTCGTTGCTGCGAGCCCACTCTCCTGTTTGTGTGTGTAATGGCGATTCGCTTTCGGTTGGTGGACATATACCCGATTTAGCTTTCCACAGTGGATATCGTCTGCTGTTAGGGGAGAGATTCTGCAAATAGAAAAATTGAGATCGATTACTTTCATCTTCTAGGGCTGGGCGTAGAAGATAGTTGGCTGTTTTAAGCTGTTTTAAGTTTGAGGCAGGCGATCTGTGGGCTTGCCACTCCCTCCGAAGCCTTCTCTTATTGCGTAGCAGTTCGTTAATATGCCCAGAAGCTCGACTGTTGCTAAAATTAGAATTAAAATTACAAGCCGATATAGTAGGTGTGGAGCAGAGAACTGCAAAAATCACTATTTTCTTGATTTAATCATACGGGAACTTTTTCAATCAACTCAACTCACTGAACAAAACACAGGGATGAGTAAAAATCAACTCATTTTGCCGTACACGTCATTCTGATTATCTTGAGTCTTCGGTTCAAAATTTCTCACTCAATTCAACTCACTGAATAAAAAACAGTGATGAGTGAAAATCAACTCATTTTGCCGTACGCATCATTCCAATCAAAAAAACAAGCATGCTATGACTCATATTTCATTTTTGCAATTCATCATTAGTTGCACTTTGTCATTTGACTGATATGGAGGGTATCTGTTCGGAGCAGACAGCCAGCACCTAATTTTATGCACATAGGTGTAGGGAGTTAGGAGCCGCTCTTAAAGACTCTCTTATGTTTGTTATCTGCATTATCTATAATCATCAAAGCGACGGTATAAAGAAGCCGCGCTTTCGGCTTACCTCACCTCAGATCAAGCATCAACTCATCTCGCATACATTGTTCGCGCAAACATCAAAAAACGAAAAAACATAAAGGTTGCAACTCCAAAATAAACATACTTTAATTAACTTAACCTACTCGTGCGTTATTTAATTACAAGGGTGGCATATTGGTTGTCTTCCCCATAAACATTTTGGTGACCCCGACGTGATATTCGTTCACGTAAATTTCCTTTAAATCGGAGTCTGCAACTCAGTTTTCGTTCGTTTTAATTTCGCTTAAACATTTTGCCATTTGTCGTCGTTTGCGGGCATTCGGTCATAAACACACAAACGCGCATACAAAGTGCATTTAGCCGGGCGTTTGATTTTGTGCATTTCGAGCTGTTCTTTCGCTTTTGCTAATCGGGCAAAAACTGTGAACAAATAACAACAACAAAACAAAGTTCCCTAACCTTTCGGTGACGCTTGGTGCTGTAAATTTTCGCGCTTTAAACCACAGGGTGTTGTGTGCAAAGCAAACTCTATAAGAAATTACTTTTTGCTTTTTATTTTTTTTGTGAATTACTAAAATGCAAAATTCGGTGAACGATAGTCAGCCCCAAAATGGCCCAAGTGAAATTGAATTTTTCGGGCCAAAGTGCAATCCATTTTGCGGCAAGTCAACGCGCTCAAAAATTATTTAGTGGCCAACAATATCGACCAATTCGACGAAGCCGATATTCATGCGCGGTTAAAGTGGATCGAGGCACAGAACTTGGCGTTTGATTCCGCCCAGACAGCGCTGGAGAGGCTGGACTTTGCCGAGCTTACGGGCGACACAAGGATGGAGTTTTCAGGAGTCGTAATGGATGTGGAGGCTAAGCTTAATCGAGGCTTGGCGGCTCAGCGAAAATTGCAATTTGCTGGAGCCACAGCTGCCAATTCGACAAGTTTTGAATTAACAAATAATCCAGATTTTTCGTTGCGGTCTAGGAAGCCTCGATTACCAGCGTTAGAGATTGCGCGGTTTTATGGATCCTACTCCGATTGGCCGGACTTTTTCGCCACCTTCAGCACGGTGATCGGAAATAATGAGGAGCTGACTGGAATCGAAAAATTGCAATATTTACGGTCTAGTTTAGGCGGCGTGGCTCTGGAGACCATACGCTCGCTAGAACCTTCGAACCAAAATTATGAAAAGGCTTTGCATTTGTTAATAAATCGCTTTGATAATAAAGTTCTGCATTTTCAGGCACACGTGAAGGCGATATTTGGGTTGAAGGGTGTCGAGGAGGGATCAGCAACGGGTCTTCGGGAGCTCAGCGACTTCATAAATTCACATCTTCGAGCAATACGGACCTTGGCCAGTGTGGAACAAATTTTAGACGGATTTCTTATTCACATCGTCGCTCACAAGCTGGACCAGAGGACTCTAGAAAGATGGGAAGAGACCTTGCCCATCGCTGAGCTTCCAGCATGGACTGCCATGGAGTCGTTTCTGGAGAAGAGGTGCAGGATGATGGAGAACCTGGATCAAGCCTTGGTAATCCAAACACCAGGCCAACAGGTGGGAAAAAACTTGCACAGATATCACTCAAATGCAATTCTTGCCTCTGCTACGACCCTAAATTCTACTGTATGCCTGTTTTGCAATAGTAAGGACCATTTCCTGCCGAAATGTTCGCGATTTTTAAATTTGAGTCCAAATATTCGATACAGAGAAGCAAAGAAGATGCACCTTTGCCTAAATTGTTTGCGCAAGGGACATAGTTTGCAACAATGTAAAGCTTCGCATTGCAGACATTGTCGGATGAGGCACCACTCATTATTGCACATGGCCTCGGATCCCTCAAGTTCGAACTCAATGGCGTCTCCATCATCCGACCCACTCCTGAGCTCTCAGACAGTACCTTCCGCTTCATCTGCATTAGTTTCGCGCTCACATTCGCATTCTAATCAACATTTGGCAAACCCTCCACCCAGTGCCTCAAATAATATGCCGACGGAATACGTGTTGCTTCCAACTGCCATAGTTTATGTTAAAAACAGAGTTGGTGCTCTCATGCCTTGCCGAGCCATTCTAGATTCGGGTTCCCAATTAAATTTCATTACTTCGCGCCTAGCTAGCCAGCTTAATTTGAAGCACAGGCGATCGCTCACACTCGTTTCTGGAATCGGAGAATCTTCCATGAGCGCTGATAGGGCAGTTGATATTCTAGCGCAGTCACGGGATGCAGGCTATCGTGCAGCATTCACAGCTGTAGTGACTCATAGTATCACTGACTATCAGCCTCATTTTGACATAAATGCAGCAGGATGGAGAATTCCAAAGAACATTTCGCTCGCGGATCCTCATTTTAACGATTCACAACGTATTGACCTCTTAATTGGAGCTGGTCTGTTCTTTGAAATAATTACTATGGGGCAAATTCATTTGGAAAACAACTTGCCAACACTGCAGAACACCAAGCTTGGTTGGATCGTTTCTGGAGGGATGTCAAGCATTCCAAATCATAAGTCTGTCTTAGCTGCCGTTATTAAGGATCCAGTCAATCATTCTGATGATGAAACGCTTACTGCTATTGTAAAACGATTTTGGGAAATAGAAGACGTTAGCTCAGCGAAGCCAGTTGTGTTGCCTGAGGACTTGCGGTGCGAACAACTTTTTAAGGAAAACTGCACTAGGCTTGAGAATGGTCAATACTCTGTTCGCCTCTTGTCCGCTTCAGGATTCGAATCTTTAGGTGATTCCTATTGCCTGGCTCGTCGTCGTTTCAAGAGTTTGGAAGCTAAGCTAGATAGAAACCCAGCCCTGAAGGTTCAGTATTCGTCCTTTCTAAAGGAGTATATAAACTTAGGACACATGTCCCTCGCAGCAAAGGATCCAACGGTACCGCAATTTTTCTTGCCTCACCATTGTGTACATAAGCATGAGAGCACGAGCACAAAGCTTCGTGTCGTCTTTGATGGGTCTGCTAAAACGACTTCTGGTACGTCCTTGAATGACTTACTTCTCGCAGGGCCGACCATTCAGCAAAAAATCTTTAACATATTGCTTCGCTTCAGATTCTTTAAAGTAGCTCTTTGTGGAGACATCTGCAAGATGTACCGCTGCGTACGTGTTTCGTACCCGGATGATTTTTTGCAGTGCATCGTTTGGCGAGAAAATTCATCGGATGAGTTGAGTGTTTACAAGCTGCCTTCTTGGCTATAAGAGCCATGCATCAGCTCTCTTATGATGAAGAGGAATCATTTCCAATTGGAGCAGAGATTGTTCGTAGAGATTTCTATGTCGATGATTTAATTTCTGGGGGCGAAACGATTGAAGAGGTGAGAGAAATTCGTCGTCAGGTAAAGAGTCTATTGTCGCGAGGACACTTTCCAATCCGCAAATGGTGTTCGAATGAGTCAACTGCCCTCGAAGGAGAGTCGGACTGCGATAAAGAGCAGCTTATTAAATTTCACGATGGATCAGATATCGCCAAGGCATTGGGGCTAGCTTGGGACCCTTCTTCTGATCAGTTCCTGTTCAATTTTTCTCAGATATCGTCAGGTCATAGAGTCACCAAACGGATCGCATTGTCAACTATAGCCAAATTTTATGATCCTCTCGGGTTAATAACGCCAATCGTTACCAAATCTAAAATCTTCTTGCAATCTCTATGGAAGTCTAATGTGGATTGGGATGACGCATTGCCAGAGCCCATTCTTTCGTCATGGGGGGAGTTGACCTCTCAGTTGTCGATCGTCCAGAACTTGAAATTTCCACGATTCGTAGCGCGTCCGCAAGCGACCATCCAGTTGCATGGATTCTGTGATGCTAGCACAGCAGCTTATGGAGCTTGCCTATATTTGCGGTCGGAGGACAATGAAGGCACAAGAGCCTATCTACTCTGCGCCAAGTCGAGAGTAGCCCCGTTGAAGGCCTTAACAGTTCCAAGATTGGAACTTTCAGCAGCACTTTTATTGGCAGAGCTTATCGTAAGCGTCAAGGAAACCATAGATCTCGATTGCGCCTTTCATTGCTGGTCTGACTCGTCTATCGTGTTGGCGTGGATTAGGCAGCCTCCTAGGGAGTTCAACGTGTTTGTATCCAACCGAATCGCAAAAATTCAGGAGATGACGAAAGGAATGTCTTGGCATCATGTTCCAACCAACCTCAATCCGGCGGATGTCGTGTCGCGAGGCTGTACCCCTAAAGAATTGCTGGAGCATTCTCTTTGGGCTAATGGACCTCCATTTCTTTTGCAGAACTCATCGGAATGGCCTTCCTTGCTTGATGTAGCAAAGGATCTTCCAGAGCGACGTGCCGCGACTCTAATTGGAACCGTGTGCGTTGACATTTCTGTTAACTGCAAATTCCTTAACACGTTTGATAAGTTGCAGCGTGTATTTGCGTACGTGTATCGATTTATTTCGAATTGCAGGTCCAAGCCTCTACTCTCAAATAGCCATCTTTCCGTTGAGGAGATCAACTCGGGGACCGTACTTCTTCTAAGGAGCATCCAGCAGATTCACTTAGCCAAGGAGTATGGAGTTCTTAGCCAGAGCAAGCCGTGTCCACAGAAGAGCAAACTGATTTCGCTGAGGCCAATTCTTGGCACCGATAGATTACTTCGCGTTGGTGGAAGACTTCAAAACGCAAACTTGGACTATGATACGAAGCATCCGATATTGCTTCCCAAGGACCATCCAGTCACCAAAGCAATTATCGTGTATTTTCATAAAAAATACATGCACGCAGGATCGCAGGCGTTGCTTGCCACATTACGACAAAGATATTGGCCGATTGGAGGTCGGAAGTTCGTGGCTAGCGTCATCAACAAATGCGTTAGATGCTTTCGGATGAGGCCTGTGACTTGGGAGCACGTCATGGGTAATCTTCCAGCGAATCGAGTTCAACCTAACCCAGCATTTCATACGACAGGAGTCGACTATTGTGGGCCATTCTATCATAAAGCAGAGTCCCGGAACAAGGCACCGCACAAGTGCTACATCGCCGTCTTTGTCTGCTTTTCCACGAAGGCCGCTCACTTGGAAGTCGTCCAGGACCTCACAACAGATTCCTTCATAGCAGCTCTGAGAAGGTTCATCAGCCTTAGAGGCAGTCCGCGAACTATCTGGAGTGATAATGCGACCAACTTTGTCGGCGCCAAGAGCGAGTTAGGCGAACTGAAGGAATTATTTTTGAGCGAGCAACATATAGCTTCGATAGCTTCTTCGTGCCTAGCGGACGGGATAGATTGAAGTTCATACCTCCGCGTGCTCCACACTTTGGTGGCCTCATGGGAGGCCGCTGTCAAATCGGCCAAGTTTCACTTCTACAGAGTCGTCGGTCCATCCATCTTATCCCTCGATGAATTAAGAACTCTTGCTTATGAGATTTCTGCTATCCTTAACTCACGTCCCTCTGTCCAATTTCAGAAAGCGCTGAAAGCCTCGAGGTGCTAACGCCGGCGCATTTCTTAAAGGGTTCCAGCTACACCAAATTTCCTGAGCCGGATGTCACGCATCTCCTTCAAGGCCGCCTCAGCAGATGGCAAATTGTGACCCAAATGCAGCAACTATTCTGGAGAAGGTGGAGCAGCGAGTATTTATCACTTCTTCAGGAAAGGAGCAAATGGCGTTCCGAAGGATCTAACATCAAGATCGGAAGCATCGTGTTGCTGAAGGAGGACAACATTCCATCATTGAAATGGCCACTTGGACGAGTTGAGGAAGTCATTCCCGGCGAGGACGGCGTCGTCAGAGTAGTTATGGTCCGTACAGCTACGGGCATCATCAAGAGAGCCGTCGCCAAACTGGCCGTTCTGCCCGTCGATTCCCAACAAGTTGGAACCGTGCCTCTTCCAACGGGGAGTATGTTCGGAGCAGACAGCCAGCACCTAATTTTATGCACATAGGTGTAGGGAGTTAGGAGCCGCTCTTAAAGACTCTCTTATGTTTGTTATCTGCATTATCTATAATCATCAAAGCGACGGTATAAAGAAGCCGCGCTTTCGGCTTACCTCACCTCAGATCAAGCATCAACTCATCTCGCATACATTGTTCGCGCAAACATCAAAAAACGAAAAAACATAAAGGTTGCAACTCCAAAATAAACATACTTTAATTAACTTAACCTACTCGTGCGTTATTTAATTACAAGGGTGG